ACCTCTCTGCCAAGATTTAGCAGGTGTGTCTTGGCTGGCCTCACAGCCCCCAGGAAAGCTCACAGTCTCAGCTGAATTCTCTGGGAGGGCGTGAGGGTTTTGCTCCCTTCACTGCCTCACTCCCCACCTGCCTACCCACCGGCTTGTGGGGCTGCTGCCGGACCCGGGAAGCCAGGCGGTGCCCTTGTGCCATGATGCCAGTCCTTGCAATTACAGGTTGGCAAGCCCAGGGACAAAGCGTGCCAGCCAGTGCAGCAGCTTGCTAGCGGCTGGTCTGTCCTGGCTCAGTGAAGAGTTGGTCCAGGAGGGAGGAGGCTTGGGTCTCAGCTCTGCCCCGGGCACAGCCAGCCCCTGGGGGAGGGTGGCCTGCTCCCTTCTTGGCAGTTCAAGATCAAGATGAACCAAGATTGAAGGCACTGCCCCCGCCACCCCATCGGGACTGACCCTTTCCTCCTGCCTAGCTGCGCGTGCAGGTGGACATGAGGAGCGCTATGTACGTGTGAAGGTATAAGTGTGTGTACAGCCACTCTTCTGCATGGGTGTGCACAAGAGTGAGGACACAAGCGTGTGTGTGTGTGTGTGTGTGTGTGTGTCTGTGTGTGTGTAAGCATAACTTACTATGCTTATCATGAGACCACAGGTAAGCACGGGTACATGCCAGGCTGTTATTTGGCAAGGGTGCCCCGGAAAGCCTGTGCCAGGGTTGATAGCCATCATTTTTTTGGTGCCCTTGCTGCGCATGCTTTGCTATTTGCTTTTGTTTTGAGACCGAGTTTCTTGTCTCCCAGGCTGGAGTGCAATAGTGTGACGTTAGCTCACCACAACCTCTGCCTCCCAGCCTCAAGCGATTCTCCTGCCTCAGCCTCCCGAGTAGCTGGGATTATAGGTGTGCACCACCACACCGGCTAATTTTGTATTTTTAGTAGAGACAGGGTTTCTCCATGTTGGTCAGGCTGGTCTCGAACTCCCAACCTCAGGTGATCGCCCGCCTCGGCCTCCCAAAGTGCTGGGATAACAGGCGTGAGCCACCATTGCCCAGCCTGCTTTGATATTTGGAATGGCTCCCCATTACCTCCGTATGTGTGTGGGTGTGGCATGTGAGTTCTTTGCGTGTGTCTTGGGTTGTTGGTGCGTGTGTGTGAGTATGCTTGTGTGTCGAAGCTTGTGTGCCCATGTGAGAGGCCTTGGCTGTGCTTGTGTCTGGACAGGCTCGTGCAGCCACACACGTGACAGTGTGAGCATGGATGCCTATGTGAGTGGGTCTCTGCGGCCAGGGGTAACCAAAGCCAGGGACATTCATCATCACTTTCTTAGCTTGAAGGGAAATTCTCTCAGTCTAGAATGGCAGAGGCCAGGGGCGGAGGGGCTCCAGCCTTCTCAGGCTCCAGGCAGGGTTCCCAGGCCCTATCTCCCAGGGGAATCTAAGTCAGGGTACAAGGAGGCCGCACTGACTCTGAGGAGTCAGGGGCAGAGTCAGATTTCTCTTTCGGAAGTCCCCTCCGGGGCTGGTGTCTGGAGGGATGATGGGGCCTGGGAAACTGGGGAGGAGACGCCCGTGGGAGGCCTGGAGTGCACTGGCCAGCAGCTGTGGGCAGGAGAAGGAGGCAGATTTGGGGAACGGGCAGGATGCAGAATGGACAGAAATCCGAGATGGAGGGTGTGAGGGTGAGCAAGGCAGGTAGGACCCCACCCCCAGCATCTGGCCTGGGTGATGGGGACCAGGCGAGATTCCTGAGCCAGAGGAGATCCACTCTGGCAGCTTGCCGGCAGCCTGTCTGCACCTGGGGTTGTGTCGTGTCCTGGCTCAGCCACAGAAGGCAGGAACAGAGATGTTTGGGGACAGTGGAGAGAATGAGTTTAGGCAACTGTTGAGTGTGAGTGGCTGTCCAGCAGTGAGTGTCCAGATACCCAGGTAGGAGTAGCTTTGAACAGTCAGGTGAATCCTACAAACCAGGACCCTTGTTATGCGCTTGCGTTGCCTTTCTGTTGTGGAGCCCACGTTTGAACTGCTCGTGGAGGTCTGGGCATGGTGGCTCCCGCCTGTAATCCCAGCACTTCGGGAGGCTGATGCAGACAGATCACAAGGTCAGGAGTTCGAGACCAGCCTGGCCAACACGGTGAAACCCCGTCTCTAGTAAAAATACAAAAACTAGCCAGGTGTGGTGGCATGTGCCTGTAATCCCAGCCACTCAGGAGGCTGAGGCAGGAGAATCTCTTGAACCCAGAAGGTGGAGGTTGCAGTGAGCCGAGATCATGCCACTGCACTCCAGCCTGGGCAACAGAGCTAGACTCTGTCTCAAAAAAAAAAAAAAAAAGAACTGCCCATGGAAGCCAGTGAACTCTAGGAGCTGGTGATGTGGACTGGTCTATGAGGAGGTCCAGTGCAAAGCAAGGTCACCAGCTTCACACGCAGGCGCTGCTGGCGCTGGAGGACCCTGGGTGAGCATCTGGATCACCTCAGCGTTGTACCATTGGGGAAACCAAGGCCCAGAGGCGGGGCTTCCCCAGGCCCACACAGCAAGGCAGGGTGGGGCTGGGCACGTCCACCCCGGTAGGTCACACCCCTTGACTGTGGAGTCCCTCCTGGAGCTGAGTCAGCCCCAGTGGCCGCTGCCCCGGAGACTCTGTAATTACAGGATTAGAAGGTGGCCTCTCCGCAGCTGAGCCCTTTGCCCCTCAAAGCCACCAAGTGGAGACAAGGATTTGGTGGCACGGTGCCAGCCTCCAGGTGTGTCTGAGACCTGGCATCCTCGGGCGGCTTCTTCAGCCTCAAAGGCCCCATTGTGGCTGCCGCCTCCCTCTGAGGGGTTCTATTTTGGGGGGGATCCACCCTGCTCCAGCTGGAGAAAGGAAAAGGTGTATTTCAGCATGTCCTGGGGGTGTGGAGTGGCAGGGAGAGCGAGACAGGGGCTGGCTGGGGGCGGGGTGCCTGGGTGCAGGAAGGGGAGGTCGCAGAGGCAGATGCTGTTGGTGTCGGGGGTGGGGGGCCGACAGGCCTGGTGGGGCAGGTGCAGGCACCCGGAGGAAGTCGGAGGGGAGTGGGCGTGAGTCGGCTTGGCTTTCATGTGGCCCCAGGAGGCAGCTGGCAGACCCTGCTGGGCTGGAATGTGGACCTGCAGCTGCCTGGGCCCCGCCTGAGACCTATCTACCAGCGACTTCCTGATTCCTACCCCTGTGGGTGCTGGGCCCCATGTCCCAGGCCTGAGGGATGCCCACTCTGCCCTCAGGGGCCTCTCAGTGTGGGTACCGGGGACCAGGCACTGCAGTCCCAGGGACAGGGTAGGACCAGGAGAGCGCGTGCCTGCTTGGGCTCCTTCGTGGTTCTGCTCTCCCTCTAGCAGAGCTGGGTCACGTTCCCGCCCCACCTGGCGTGGTGGAACATCCCAGCCCCTTGCCTCTGCTCCTGTGGGTCCCCTGGTGGCGCGATCTCGTGGGTGTCCTGGGCCCGGCCTGATCTTGACTGTCCTTCAGGGCTCTCCTTGGCACCACCTCCGCCCGGGGGCTCCCTGCCCATCTCGGCCTTTCCTCTGACTCCCCTGTGCTAGTGTCACCAGGCACTGTGGATGCTGGGAACCCCCTGAGCTCCTCCCCGAGATGGCCCCTTCACCCTCACCATGCACAGGCCAGCCACGTGGTGGGGTAGGAAGCTCACCAGGACCTGGCTTGATGCGTGCCCTCCGACCTGAGTTTTCTTGTCTGTGAAATGGGTGTAATGGCATCTGCCTGACGGGGCACCTGACCTGAGGGGTTAGACAGGGTCATGAGAAAGGACAGGGGTGGCCCTTCAGGTCCACCACCCTGGGTGCTCCCTGGCCACTGATCATTAGGTCTCTGGGTGCCTGAGCCTGGGCTGCCCTGGGCACAGCCCCGTGATCCAGGAATGACTAATTTCACCCCCGCAATAAGCTCTTGGAAGCTTTAAGAAATGAGACTTTTTTTTCTCTCTCTTTCTTCTTCCTGCTTCATTAAACTCTTCTTGAGTGAGCGGAATGAGGATTGTCCTAATCCCTTGGCATGAGGTGAAGGGGGGTTCAGGGCTTGTGGTAACCAAAGGACATTGGGAGCAGGGCTGGGGGTGAGCACTGGGCAGGGGCCGGAAGCCTTGCGTTCCAGGCAGGCTTTGCCCAGGGTCAACTCGTGACCCCAGACAAGTGCTGCCCTTGACCAGGCTCAGTTTAACTGTATACCTGACGGGTGTACCAGGCCTTGCCCACCTGCCTGTGCTGCTCCAGGGGGAGGGGATGGCCTGGAGGGGGCTTTGGTGGGTGCCTGGGGCTGAGCAGGCTGAATGGCACACAGTAGGTGCCTTAGCAGTGTACACAGACTTTTGGGGAAAACAGAAGAGGGGTGGGCAGGCTCCAGCAGTCTTTCGGTCTTTGTCTTCTAAAGTCTGTTATTTTTTTCTTTTACTTTTTTTTTTGAGGCAAAAGTCTCGCTCTGTCCCCCAGGCTGGAGTGCAGTGGCGTGATCTCAGCTCACAGCAAGCCCTGCCTCTCGGGTTCAAGTGATTCTCGTGCCTCAGCTTTCTGAGTAGCTGGGACTACAGGTGTGAGACAGCATGCCCTGCTAATTTTTGTATTTTTAGTAGAGACAGGATTTCACCATGTTGGCCAGGCTGGTCTTGAACTCGTGACCTCAGGTGGTCCACCTGCCTCGGCCTCCCAAAGTGCTGGGATTACAGGCATGAGCCACTGCGCCTCGCTTAAAGTCTGTTTTCTTACCTTAACAATGGCCTGGGAGGAGGCCTAGCTGCCTCCTAATGGCCCCAGTGGGGGACTCCGGGGGCTGGACACTCCCCAGTAGGTCCTGGCTCTGTCTACCCACCCTCAAGGCTGCTAAACCAGAAAAATAGTTCCAGGCCTTCCTCGCTCATGCCAGTAAGTGTCCATAATGCCTTTCTCTGTGGTGTCCCAGTCTCTCTTCTCCACGGGTGAGAAGCAACAGGTGGGGCCTGTGACTCGGGTCTGGGAGTCCTCACCCAGGCCGCCTTCTGTCCACAGGTGTTCCTGGCCCTTGGAGAGCTGCTTCTGTCCTGCAACTGGGCGGTGGCTGCTGACATCCTGCTGGTAGGTGTGGGAGTCGGGGTGGGGGCGGAGCTGGGCTCCATCCAGCTCAAGATTGGGCCTCTGCTGCTGAGCAGCTGGGGGCTGGCAGCGGTGTCAGAGACCATGCGTCAGGGGACCGCAGCCGTCCACAGTTACCTTGGACCCAAGGTCTGACACTCCGCAACATCTTTGACCGTCATCCCCGTTTTGCAGATGAACAAATGGAGGTTCAGAGAAGGCAGGTGCCTGGCTGAAAGTCACACAGCTCTAATGCAGGGAGTCAGGGCAGGAGGTGTTTTGACTCTCTGGGCTCCTTCCCCTTTTTTTGAGACAGAATTTCACTCTTTTTGTCCAGGCTGGAGTACAACGGCCCAATCTTGGCTCACTGCAACCTCCGCCTCCCAGGTTCAAGTGATTCTCCTGTTTCAGCCTCCCAGGTAGCCAAGACTATAGGCACCCGCCACCACGCCTGGCTCATTTTGTATTTTTAGCAGAGATGGGGTTTCACCAAGTGGCCAGGCTGGTCTCGAACTCCTGACCTCAGGTGATCTGCCGGGTTGGCTGGGATTACAGGCGTGAGTTGCCGTGCCTGGCCCCGCCCCCTCTTTCTGTAGCACACTGCTTCTCAGCGGGCAGGCTCCTTGGCCTCCGCTCTGGGGCGTGCAGCTCGGATGCCGTCCTTCAGGGCAATCGACACTGAGGCCATCGAGCCAGCCCGCCCCAACTTGTGTGTCACAGGCGGCCGTGCAAGGAGCAGCCTCACCTAGAAGAGGCCTGATGCTGTCCTGATCACATGATTGCCGTGTCCAGAGTCCGGCATGGCCCCTCACCCCCCGAGTCCCAAGCTCTCGTCCAGCCCCCCTTCCTCCTCCTGGGAGGCATCAGGGAAGGACTTTGAACACCATGAAGGGATGTGCCTTGTAGATAGTGCAGGCCCCGGGCCTGTGAGCACCCTGAGAGCCTTCCTCTCGCCTCCTGGCAGCCTGGCACAGTCCGATGCTAGCCACAAGGGGACTGGACCAGACTGGCAGTAGGCTGAGATCAGTTCTGAGGGCAGTTCAGTGTGGGGGCACCAGCCTGGGTTCAGAAAACAGGCCTGGATGCCAGCGCTGGGCTTGCCACTTATGAGCTGTGTGGCGTTAGGCAAGTGACTGTGTGTCTCTGAGCCTCGGTATCCCCTTGTGGAAAGTGGGGATGGTGATGGCACCAGCCTTAGGGACTGTTCTGAGGGTGAAATGAGATGATCCACATGCCTGGCACAGAGAATGCGGGCTGGGATTCTCACACGATCTCGAATTTTCCATTTTCTCATTTTCTATCTTCCAAAGAAATCGTGGTGTTCTAGAGTCTGAGTTTGACAGGGTTAGGGCATGCACAGTCATTTAATCCGTCAACAAAGCCTGCTTGAATCCTACTGTGGACGGGATGCTCACTGCCTGCCAAGATGTCCGCCCCTCCCTGGCAGATCCCGTGGTCCCTCCCTATAGCACAGGCTCAGTGGGTCTGGAGAGGCCTGCCCTGTCTCTGGCTCCTGGCTGAGTGTATCAGCTTCAGGGCTGGCAGCTCTTCCTGCCCCTCTCTCCAGGCAGGGGAGACTTGCGCTCCAGCCCAGAGTCACCTCAGACCTGCTGCATGGCCCTGGCCTCAGTTTCCCCATCTATAAAAGGGGTAATTAGTACCTGCTCGGTAGGGTGAGCGAAGCCGCCTGCAGGAAGGCTCTCAGGAAGCGGGAAGCCATCGGCAAATGTTTTACTGGCGGGATTGTCGGATTTCAGGCTCAGGGATATTCACATGCCCCCAGCAGAGCTGGTCCTCTCTGAGGTGGTCCAGGCAGAGCCGCGCCTGCCCTGGCGGCTTCCCTGGCCTGCCCCCCGCCGCACGGCTCCCTCTTCCACATGACAGCCCCACAGATATGTGAAGACTGCACCCTCGTCCCCCAGGTCCCCCAGTGCCTGCGTTTGTAAGAATGATTAACCTGGAGAGCCAGGCTCTTTGTGGAATTGAAGAGGAGAATGTGTGCTGGCGGGGGGTGGGGAAGGAGAGTTAGAGACTGGCCTGCTCCAGTTTCACCCAGGTGGGGAGCTGCCCAGGGAGCCGGCTGGACAGGAGCCAGCCCACCTCAGGGCTCCCTGTGGTCCTTCCCTGGCTTGCAGGCCTCCAGTCCCAGTGCTTAGCAACATCTTTGACTCCAGCAGAGCCTCCTGCCCCCTCCCCTGCCTTCCCACCTTCTGGAGCCCGGGGCCACAGATGCCTTTCTGCACGTAGGGGATCCGAACCATGCAGCCCCTGCTGTTCAGTTCCTCCACATTGCTGCTTCCCTGTAAAGGCAGGTGGTAGGGGAGGCTTCTGTGCCGTGGAGGGTCAGATGCCAGCTTGGGGCAGGGTGAGAAGGGCGAGGAAGGGGAAGCAGGACCCCGAGGGTGGGCAATTCCCTTGAGGAGCTGAGCCGACAGGAGCCAAGGGCATGGTAGCTGGGGTCTGCGGCAGATCCTTGGAAGCTGGTATTGCTTTTCAAGAGGGGAGGCCAGGGCAGCCTCCAGGGAGCAGGGAGGGGCCAGCGGGAGGAGACAGGGACCCTGTTCGAGGGTGAGCAGGGGGTGGGCTCCAGCGAGGAGGGGAGGAAGCAGCCTCGAAGCAGAGCAGGGACAGGAAGTGTGTAGGGACAGGGCGTGTGTGGGGACAGGGCCTGCGGCAGGAAGCAGAGGAAGGTGCCCTTGCTCCTGAGACAGGAGGTCAGCTTCACTTTCAGCAGGGGCCCAGGGAGGGAGGGGACCTTGGAGGGTGTGTACGGGGGGCCACAGGACGAGGGAGCAGGGAGCTGAGGGCCGGGCACGTTCAGGTGAACAGCTTTTGGCAGCCAGGAAAGCCACGAGGGGCTGATACGGAAACTGGGGTGGAGACTGCAGGTGTCTGGGAGGTTGGAGTCTGTGGGTTGGTCAGAGTGCAGAGGGCAGCAGACCCCAGGTTCGAGGACTCTGTGGCAGCCCATCTACTTTCATTTCCAGCCTGGCTCCTCACCAGCTGTGTGATCCTGGCCAAGTGGCTGAACCTCTCTGGGTCTCGGTTTGCTCACCTGTGCAATAGGTATTGTGGTGGCATCCACCAACGACACCCCAAGCTATAAGGATAGAATGAGCTCACAGCTGCATCACGCAGATTCCTGAGTGGGCCGGTGGGCCCCACTGAATTCCAGATCGTTCCTTCCTCGGGACACGGCTCTCTTTGATGCCATCTCCACAATGGGGAGAATCCAGGTTCTCTCTGGAGAAGGGACCTCAGGGGCTCTCTGGTCCAGTGGCTTGAAGACGTTCTTGTGCATGAGAATCAGGTTTGAGGGAGCCTATTACCAACACAGCTTCCAGGTGCTGGGTCCTCCACGTCTGATTCTGAGGGTCCACGCTGGGGTCCAGGCACCAGCTTCTGATGAATTTCCCAAGTGACTCTGCTGTAGAATTCCTTAGGGCACACTTTGAGAACACTGGCCTGGCACCACAAGCTCCCCAGTCCATAAATGCTTTGCCAGATTCCAGCCATCCCCTAGTTCACATACGCCTCCCTTGGGAGCTCATTCCCTCCACCTCAGGCAGACCCTGCCTCTTAGGAGGGGCTTTCTTTTTTTTCTTTTTCTTTTTTTGAGTCGGAGTCTTGCTCTGTCGCCCAGGCTGGAGTGCAGTGGCACGATCTCGGCTCACTGCAACCTCTGCCTCCCGGGTTCACGTGATTCTCCTGCCTCAGCCTCCTGAGTAGATGGGACTACAGGTGCCTGCCACTATGCCCTGCTAATGTTTGTATTTTTAGTAGAGATGGGGTTTCACCATGCTGGCTAGACTGGTCTTGAACTCCTGATCTCAGGCGATCTGCCTGCCTTGGCCTCCCAAAGTGCTGGGATTACAGGCGTGAGCCCCCGCCCCCGGCCTCGGGGGGCTTCCTGTTGGTGAAAATGATTTGGCTCAGTCACAGCCAAGACCCACCCCTGGCACCCCACATTGGCCCTGCCGGTCCGCAGAGGGCCCTGCTCCCTGGAGGCTGTGATCATGTCCCCCGAACCCGCATCTCTCCAGGCAGAGCTCCCTGCCTCCCCTAACCTAGCCATGGGGTCTTCAGCTCCCTCCCAGCCCTGCTGTCTGTCCGGCCCCACTCAGGATGACCCAGAGCCAGCCCACCCCGACTCCCCAGTGTGAGGGCTAGAGCAGAAGGGGAGCTCATTCTCTCTCTCTCAGGCCTGTCCTCTGGGGTCCCGGAATCTAGCCACAGGCTCATCTCCCACCCCTCAGCAGGCATCCCCACATGTCCTTGGAGGGTTGTCACCTCTGCATTCTTCCCTGGCCCCAGCTCTCCATGCTTCCCTGCTCAGTCTCTGCTCGCCAGGGGGCTGTCAGCTCACTCGCCTGTCTCCCATCTCGCCTTCCCAGGGGCGTCTGTGGGCGAGGGCTGAGTGGGGGTGCAGGAGGCAGGCTGCTGGGGAGTCTGCACCTGGTGGCTGCTGCTCCGTCTTTTTCCAAGTTCTTGGTTGGCTCTGGTTTTGCCCTGGGCTATAAAGGGAGCAGCTTTTCTAAGAAGAGAGAGCCAGAAACAGAGGTGTTTTTGTCTCGGAATAGAGTGAGCCTGGATTTTTGGGAACCCAAAGCCTCTTATTTCTGAAATTACCCCCTGGGCTCTCCGGCTTCTGCGGGGCCCACCCTTGGCTGCTGGCTGCATGGCGACAATGGGGTCTTAGAACAGGCTCCGGGAGACCCACCTCTCTCGCTGGGCCCAGCAGGTTGGGGTTCCTGGGGGAGGAAGAAGGAGCCAGCTTGCCTAGACCTTACTGTGGGGATCCAGGCAGCCCCAGCCTCCATGTGGACCTTTTTGGACGTTCAGGCCCCTCCTTCCAGGAAGCCTCGCCTGTCTTCCCAGAGCCAGTAGTGAGTAATCACATAATTATGGGGTGAGAAGGAAGTCCTCATGGAAGGTGCAAAGCTGTGGTCAGTTCCTTCTCAGGCCTGTTGGCAGATCCAGAGGATGGCAAGAGGTCTGGTTTCTCTCGCCACCTGTGTAGGGTGGCTCAGTGCCACTGGCCTCGGGACCAGCCAGGCACCACAGTGACTCCTGCCACTCTGCCCTGCCCACCACAAAACCCCCTGCCTCTGTCCCCTGGGATTCTGGATTCCAGAGATCATGTCCCTGGGATGCCCCTCCACACCTTTGCTTACACTGTCCCCTGCCTGGAATGCCTTTCCCCGTCTCTTTGCCAGTTACTGAATCCTCTGCCATCCATTTATGGGGCTAGCAATGAACCTGTCCTCATCTTTCTCTTGTATTTCTGAAAGTTCTATTACAAATGTATAAATATAAGGCTGGGTGTGGTGGCTCACGCCTGTAATCCCAGCACAATGGGAGGCCGAGGCGGGCAGATCATGAGGTCAGGAGATCGAGACCATCTTGGCTAACATGGTGAAACCCTGTCTCTACTAAAAATACAAAAAATTAGCCTGGTGTGGTAGCGGGTGCCTGTAATCCCAGCTACTTGGGAGGCTGAGGCAGAAGAATTGCTTGAACCCGGGAAGCGGAGGTTGCAGTGAGCTAAGATCGCACCACTGCACTCCAGCCTGGGCGACAGAGTGAGACTCTGTCTAAAAAAAAAAAACAGATGCGTAAATATTGCTGGAAACACCGCTCCTCCTTGCCCGTTATAGCAGAGTGGTCAAAGGGTCAGGTCCTGGAGGGAGAAGGCCTGGGAGGCAAAGTCAGCCCTGTTATTTCAGGCTGGGTGACCTTGGGCAAGTCACTGGCCTTCCTGTGGAGGGTTTTCTTATCTGTAAAATGCAGGTGATCACCATATCACCCTCATGGGTTGTTTAAGTTGATATAGAACATGCATACCGGAAGCATTCAACAAATGTTGGCAATTATTATTATTATTTTATTATTATTGGGGTTTTGTTTTGAGATAGGATCTCACCATCACTCAAGCTGGAGTGCAATGGCACCATCTCGGCTCACTGCAACCTCCACCTCCCAGGTTCAACCCATTCTCCTGCCTCAGCCTCCCCAGTAGCTGGGATTACAGGCGCCTGCCACCACACCCAGCTAACTTTTGTATTTTTAGTAGAGACAGGGTTTCACCATGTTGGCCGGGTTGGTCTCGAACTCCTGACCTCAAGTGACCCACCTGCCTCGGCCTCCCAAAGTGCTGTGATTTCAGGAGTAAGCCACCATGCTCAGCTAACATTGACTGTTATTGACTCGTGGCCTCAGATTATGGACACCGAGGTCTTGGGGATAAGGTTCCAGGGTGGGAAGCTTCCCTGGGGCCATCCAGGTGGGTTCATGCGACCATGTGGTCTCTGCCTGAATCCCCTCCGCCTCCCTCCTTCTATTCCCTGCTGTAGACCTGAGTTCTAACAGAGTTTCTCCTGGGAACAGTCTCCCAGATGGATCTACTTGACTTATTATTTATTTATTTTTTTGAGACAGAGTTTCGTCTTGTTGCCCAGGCTGGAGTGCAATGGCACGATCTGGGCTCACTGCAACTGCCTCCCGGGTTCAAGCGATTCTCCTGCCTCAGCCTCCTGAGTAGCTGAGATTCCAGGCACACGCCACCATGCCCGGCTAATTTTTTGTAGTTTTAATAGAGACGGGGTTTCTTCATGTTGGTCAGGCTGATCTACCCGCCTTGGCCTCCCAAAGTGCTGGGATTACAGGTGTGAGCCACCGCGCCTGGATGTACTTGACTTATGTGGTTAGCAAACTCTCAGCTAGTGCCCTCTGCGCCTGGTACCTTGCTGCACTCAGGGACTCCAAGAGAAATTAGGGTCTTTGCTGTGTGCACACCATGGGGAATAAGGGGAGGTGGGCAGAGAAAGGGCCCCTCCCAGTTCTGGGCGACTGCGTTCAGTTAGGGGTGTGCATGGGGGCTGCAGGAGCTCAGGGCAGGTACCCAGACTCTGAGAGGGCTTCACAGAGGCGGTCACCCAAAGGTAAGTCCTAAATGACAAATAGAGGTGCTCCAGCCGGACCGGAGAGTTGGTGTGCCAGGCAGAAGGCGTGGCCGAGTTCAAGTGCCTGGGAGCATTCTGTCTCAGAGCGTATTTCAGTCTGATGTCCACGTGAAGCCTCCGGGTACCAGATGAATAATGATAATGTGTCAGGTTCTCAAGACAGGTGCTATTCTTACCCCCATCTGGGGATGGGGAGACTGAGGGAAGAAAGGTGAAGCTGCTTGCTCAGAGTCACACAGCTGGCGACTAAGGATCTGGATCAGAACCAGAGAGTCAGACTCCAGAGTTCATCTTTTTTTTTTTTTTGAGATGGGGTTTCACTCTTGTTACCCAGGCTGGAGTGCAATGGTGAAATCTTGGCTCACTGCAACCTCCGCCTCCCGGGTTTAAGCGATTCTCCTGCCTCAGCCTCCAGAGTAGCTGGGATTACAGGCATGCGCCACTAAGCCCAGTTAGTTTTTGTATTTTTAGTAGAGACGGGGTTTTACCATGTTGCCCAGGCTTGTCTTGAACTCCTGACCTCAGTTGATCCGCCCGCCTCGGCCTCCCAAAGTACTAGGATTACAGGTGTGAGTCACCTCGGCCAGTCCAGAGTTCATCTTCTTAACGTTTTCATCCTCTTCTGTGGAGTCATGTGAGCTTCTCCACCTAGGCTGCCTTTGGCCGCTGCCCCATGGGCCTTGAGGTTCCTGAGAGGACTGAGCCCTCTGCACCACTCCTGCCCAGCTGCCCGCACTTGCAGACACCTGGCGTGCACCCCCTCTTCACCCTGTCCACCTGCGCTGCTGCATTCTGGGCTCCTCAGCTGAGACACCTCACCCTGTCACTGTGGTCCCAGCCCTGCCTGCTTCCTTCCCAGTTCAAGGGCAAAGTCTCAAGAGGGGTGGCCCTGATCAGGGCCTTGGCACCTCCATCCTGGGGCACTGGGAGACTTCTGATGGGCCTGATGTTCTGGGGTGGGACGTCAGGCCTTGGGGGTCATCGACTCCCTCCCACCCTACTCACCTGAATAGCCTTCACTCCTCTGGGCAGGTCCTTGGCAGGTGGGGAGCAGGAAGTGGCTGTGCCCTGACTTGGGGTGCCCCTGCTGCGCCTATGTTTTGCAGTCTGTGGTGGTGCCCAGGTGCCGGGGGACAGCAGAGGCACTCCAGATCACGGTGGGCCACATCCTGGGAGACGCCGGCAGCCCCTATCTCATGGGACTTGTAAGACACGTCTGCGTGTGTGGGGTGGGGAGGGTCTGGGGAGGCAGTGCCCTTGCTAAGGCCTGGGGGCCAGCCTGGAGGACCTGGCAGACCCTCCCTTCTCCTCCACAGATATCTAGTGCCCTGCGGGCCAGGCGCCCCGACACCTACCTGCAGCGCTTCCTCAGCCTGCAACAGAGCTTCCTGTGCTGTGCCTTCGTGGTCGCCCTTGGGGGCGGATGCTTCCTGCTGACTGCGCTGTACCTAGAGAGAGACTGGGCCCGGGCCTGGCAGCCTGGCACAGGTACCCCCACCTCTTGCACCAGGCTGGGCTCAGGGCTGCATACCCTAGGGGCAGGGGACAGCACTGGCCACCCCCTGAGCCCCTGGCCAGCTTGTTCATTCATTCAGAAATCTTAGTACACCCCTGCTACGTACCAGGCAAGGCTGCAGATGCTGGGCAGTGAAAGAATTGGGCCAAGTCCAGGCCCCTGTAGAAACTGACACGGTAGTTGGTGAAGACAGACCAGAAACAGAAAAAGTAAAAGATACAGCAGGATCAGGGTGATGAGTGCTACAGAGACTCGTAAAGCGGTTCAAAGAAAGGAGAAAGGGGCCAGGCGAGGCGGCTCACGCCTGTAATCCCAGAACTTTGGGAGGCGGAGGCAGAGGTGGGCGAATCACCTGAGGTTAGGAGTTCAAGACCCGCCTGGGCAACATGGTGAAACCATTTGTCTACTAAAAATATAAAAATTTGCCAGGCGTGGTGGCAGGCACCTATAACCTCAGCTACTTGGGAGGCTGAGGCAGGAGAATCTCTTGAATCCAGGGGGCAGAGTTTTCAGAGAGCAGAGATCGGGCCACTGCACTCCAGCCTGGGTGACAGAGTGAGACTCCACCTTGAAAAAATAAAATAAAATAAAATAAAATAAAATATAAAAAGGAAGGAAAGAGGGACAGGTGTGCGCAGGTTGCAAGGGTCCCCGCTGTGCAGCGAGGGAGTGAGCCGTTCAGCCCCCGGGGGAAGGCGCTCAGGAAGTGCAAAGGCCCTGCCGTGGGAGCGCACCTGGTGTGTCTGAGGATCAGCAAGGAGGCCAGTGTTGCTGGAGCAGGAGCAGGAGGGACAGCAGTAGGGATGAGGGATAAGGGGCCAGAGCAGGGGTCCTTGTAAGGACCGTGGCTTTCACTCGGAGAGAGACGGGAGCTGCTGCGGGCTTCCAGGAGAGGAGCGCCGAGGTGGTCTGATGGATGCTGTCAAAGCATCACCCTGGCTGCCGTGTTGAGGACAGATTGCGGGAGGGTCAGCGTTGAGGCCGAGAGGCAGAGCCGACTCTGAGACCCTCCAGGGGAGAGTCATGCTGAGACAAGGGCAGTGGCAGTGAGGGTGATGAGAAGCGGGTGGGTCTGGAATGCATTTCGAGATTGGGACAGGGAGGATTCCCGGACAGCCCATCCCGAGCACTGGCCCCAAAGCACCTTCTGTATTCTCAGGCAAGCTGGGCATCTTTCCTCCTGCAGGGACCCCAGACAGCAAGGATGTGGACAGCAAGGACCTGGAGAGACAAGCCCTGCTTTCTGGCACCGGGGCCTCCACAGAGGAGCCCTGAGGTGCCCGCCTGCACCCACCCCGCCTGCACCCACGCCACCTGCACACCTCCCGCCCGTCCCCATGGTAGCAATGCCTCCGTTCCTCTTTGGCTGTCCTCAGCGACTCCCGCTGAGGCGCATCTGCCACGTTTGCGTTCCCGGCTGGAGAGCTGGCAGGACCCTGTGGCTGGGCTGGGAATTGAGCTGTCAGCACCCTGCGTGGGAGGCCTGGGCCTGTGCCTGCGGCCAGCTCACGGCTGCTCCAGCCTGGGGTCCTCAGCCTGGCTGCTGCGGGGCCAGTACAAATCCCACGGATTTCGGGCCTGTAGACAAGCGTGTTATTTACAGCCTCTCGTGCCTCTGCTGGAGGGGAAGCGGGAAATGATGGGATGGGCAGTCCAGGCCAAGGGTGCAGGGCTGCCCCTAAAGTGGGGAAGCTGAGGGGGTGCTGGGCATGGGTCTCTAGAGGTCCTCACCCTAGACCTCCCACTCCAACCCAGCTTCTCCATTCTGCGAAGTCACGGTCAAGGGACACCCTCTGCATGACTCCACCCTTTATTTTGTTTGCTTGTTTTGTTCCGTTTTTGAGATGGAGTTTCGCGCTTGTCCAGGCTGGAGTGCAGTGGCGCGATCTCAGCTCATTGCAACCTCCACCTCCTGGTTTCAAGCGATTCTCCTACCTCGGTCTCCCGAGTAGCTGGGATTACAGGCGCCCACCACCATGACTGACTAAATTTTGTATTTTTAGTAGAGACAGGGTTTCACCATGTTGGCCAGGCTGGTCTTGAACTCCTGACCCTGACCTCAGGTGATCCACCCACCTCGGGCCTCCCAATGTGGTGGGATTATAGGCGGGAGCCACCATGCCAGGCCGACTCCAGCCTTTGAGCAAAACGTGGGGGCTGAATCAGTCTTGAAGATGAGATTCCACTGGGCATGGGTATGGGGATGTCGCTCTAAGTTCCAGGTAACCACACGGAGAAGCGCCCACACAGACACGGGTGCCCTGCCCGGAAACCCTGCTAAGGACTTGGGTGGTCGTGAAGGCATCTTCCTGGCCTGCCCATTCTGCACCCCCGGCCTTCCCTGGGCCCATACTCTGACCCCGGCACAGCCTGCGGGAAGGGCTGGCTCTGTGGGGCCCTCGCTTGCCGCTGGGTTCAGAGCAGCTGGGCTCAGCGGGCCCTGCGGGAGATCGACAGCTTCCAGGCGGGCAGCAGTGGGGGGGCTTGTTCTCATGTTCTTTCCGCCTCCCCTGGTGCCCAGCCAGGCGATCACTTGCTCACTCACTGACAGCCACCTTCGCTGTGCCAGGCTGTGCCTGTCTCGCAGCAGCTGCAGGCAGGGCAGTGACTGAGACTCCTGCGCACCCCCGACCCTGTCTGGCTCTGTCCCTGCCTTCTGTGGGGTGCCTCCCAGCCCCCAGTATTGGCCACAACAGGCCCCAGGAGCAGGGCTCTCCAGCTCAGCCCACACCTGCCCCAGAGCCAACCCTCCCCGCAGGATGGCCAGGCCCTTGACCGTGACTCAATGCTTCGAGCTCATGCAACAGGTGGCCTTTGAAGTTACAAGGAAAAAGATATCTGAGGATATTTTGTTTTTCCTAAGAAGGAGGCAGCCAGTCTGGGCGGGAGCAGAGTGCCCCAGTCCTTCCCAGCGTTCACTGAGTGATCTCAGTGGCCCCCTGCCTCCCTGAGAGCCACTGACTCCCTGGCTGGGTTTGAGAGGTGTGTTGATGTGGCTTTCTAGCCTGAGCCTCACGTGATTTGCACAGGCTGGGTCTAGACTCACAGAAGCCCAGCTCCAGGGTCTCAACCTTCCTCCCAGCAGCCTCAGGGAGGACCCCTGCGAGGCAAGGCTCCCAGAAAATGAGTGAATGGAGTTCGAGACCAGCCTGGGCAACACGGTGAAACCCCATCTCTACCAAAAATACAAAAACATAGCTGGGTGTGTTGGTGCACGGCTGTGGTCCCAGATACTCGGGAGGCTGAGGTGGGAGGATCGCTTGATCCAGCGGGGGCAGGGTGGGGGGCAGAGTTTGTAGGGAAGAGAGATGGTGCCACTGCACTCCAGCCTGGGTGACACAGTGAGACTTCATCTCAAAAACAAAAAACAAAACAAAAAGAAAACACCAGCCGCCACCTCCCCACCCAGCGTCCAGTAGAGGAAAAGCAGAAACTTCTTTCGTGCCAACTTTATGAACATGCATTGGTATCAGCGGGTGCCCCTTCGGGTGTCCAGCAGTGAATCAGACTCCAGCCCTGCCCGTGGACCTCACAGCCCATGGCGGGACAGGCAAGTGTGGCACACCTGTGGGAAGACTAAGGGCTTCCATGCCCCAGAAGCCTTCAAGGAGGTGGTGTTGGAGTTGGTAACTAGGTGTGGGGGAAGGGAATTCTAGGTGGGGGGAAGATGTGTTTTTTTTTTTTTTTTTTTTTTTTTTTGAGACGAGGTTTCACCATGTTGGTCAGGCTGGTCTTGAACTCCCAACCTCAGGTGATCCGCCCGCCTTGGCCTCCAAAGTGCTTAGATTACAGGCGTGAGCCACTACGTCCGGACTAAGATGTGTTCTCTTTGCCAGACTCCATTCCAGCCCGAGTGACTGGGCTCTCCCAGGCTGGCATCATAACCTCCGCCCACCAGCACTGGCCCCAAAGAGGCAGGAGGTGGGAGTCTGGGTTGGCTGCAGAGGAGATATTGGTCCCCATCATTCACAGCATCCACCCGTCCCAGAGCTCCCACTCTGCCTCAAAGCCCTTCAGACAATAGCATCATATCCACTGAGGGCCGAGCAGAAGATATGCAATGAATCATGGAGGGGTGTGGTGCGGCCAGAGAGGAGGGTGCGTGTGTCACTGAGTTGGGAGAGGAGGTGAGAGGGGCCATCTGGGACCAGAGGGGCTTCAGATGCAGGCAGAGAAGCTGGGCTCTAATCCTGTGATCCAGGGTAGTTCCTTATGACTCAAGTGTATTTTGTTGTTTGGGTTGCTGGGCAGGGCAAGGTGGAGCTCCCAGGGCTGAGCCACATGAGATGCCCGGTCGGGAGTGGATACGATGCTATTGTCTGAAGGGCTTTGAGGCAGAGTGGGAGCTCTTGGAGGGGTGGATGCTGTGAATGATGGGGACCAATATCTCCTCTGCAGCCAACCCAGACTCCCACCTCCTGCCTCTTTGGGGCCAGTGCTGGTGGGCAGAGAGCCCAGCCACTCGGGCTAGAGTGGAGTCTGGTAAAAAGAACACATCTTCCCTGCCTACGGGCACTTGGGTAATCCTAGCCACTGATACTCTGGACTCGTTTGTTGGGAATGTCAACAGGAAGAAAAATGCTGCTCAGCAGGACGAGTCCTGAAGCCTGACCTGGCTCTCTCCATGTGTTCATTGCTCTTTCCAGATACACGCTGCCTTCCAGCTCTAGGTATTATCCTGGAATGCAGGTGTGAGTGTCTGTGTGCATGTACGTGTACCTGTGTGTGCATCTCCATGTTGGTGTGTGCCCATGTGGAGATATTGGTATAAGACTTTTTTTTTTTTTTGGAGACGAATATTTGCTCTTGTTGCCCAGGCTGGAGTGGAATGGCGTGATGGCTCACTGCAACCTCTGCCTCACATGTTCAAAAGATTCTCATGCCTTAGCCTCCCAAGTAGCTGGGATTACAGGAGCACACCACCACACCCAGCTAATTTTTTGTATCTTTTATTTTTCTCTGTCATCCAAGCTGGAGTGTAGTGGTGCAATCTTGGCTCACTGCAACCTTTGCCTCCCGGGTTCAAGCGATTCTCCTGCCTCAGCCTCCCGAGTAGCTGGGACTATAGGTGTGTGCCACCATGCCCAGCTAATTTTTTGTTATTTTTAGTAGAGACGGGGTTTCACCGTGTTACCCAGGCTGGTCTTGATCTCCTGACCTCATGATCCACCCATCTCAGCCTCCTAAAGTGCTGGGATTACAGGTGTGTGCCATCGCGCCCGGTCCAATTTTTTGTATTTTTAGTAGAGACAGGGTTTTCCCACGTTGACCAGGCTGGTCTCCAACTCTTCAGCTCAGGCAATCCACCTGCCTCAGACCCCCAAAGTACTAGAATTACAGGTGTGAGCCGCCGCGCCTGGCCTAAAATCTCTTTTTCTACTTTGTTCTGAAGGTTGGGGGTTTGAACCTGTGTATCCGGATTCCCATACCCTAACCCTGGCTGGTTCCTCTGCAGCACCCAATATTGGTCTGTTTCATTCCCTGAAGTGTTTAACTTTCCTCTGTGCCTGGATGGGTTTGGGCGGTTGTTTAATGCAGCCTCTACGGACAACGTTGGCAGCAGGCAGCCGGGGGTTCCGGGAGTCATGCTTTTTCTCAACACAGAGAGGTGTGCGGCTGCTTGCGCTCCTGTGTGAGCCTATCAGTTTGTGTTGTATGTGACAGAAACAGACTGACTACCTTAACTAGGCAAAACTGTATTGAAAGCATATCAGGAACTCATAGAATTGATGAGAAGTTTGGAGATTCAGGAGCTGGGGTTCCTAGGCCATATTATTTTGGGGCTTGTGCCAGAACTCTAGACCTTTTATCCCTGTTCTTTTGCCACCCTCCTCAAGATTTAAAGCCCTGGGCAAAAGATTCCAGTTGGGCTAGCTTGGCTCCTACACCCATGCCTTGGTTTGTAGACCCATTAAGACCAGGAAACTGGGTGCTTCTGGAAGGGGAAGGAAGTCTGAGCACCAAAACCAAAGAGGAATTAAAGAAAACAAGATGCCAGGCTGGGCGCGGAGGCTCACGTCTGTAATCCCAGCACTTCGGGAGGCCAAAGTGGGGGGGATCGCCTGAGGTCAAGAGTTCGAGACCAGCCTGGCCAACATGGAGAAACCCCTTCTCTACTAAAAATACAAAAATTAGCCAGGTGGCATGTGCCTGTAATCCCAGCTACTTGGTAGGCTGAGGCAGGAGAATTCCTTGAACCCAAGAGGCGGAGGTTGCAGTGAGCCGAGATCGCGCCATTGCATTCCAGCCTGGGCAACAAGAGCAAAACTCTGTCTCAAAATAAAAATAAAAATAAAAATAGACAAGAAAGAAAACAAGATGACAGAAAACATAAAGGCAGCATCCACTACGATATCTTGGGCGGCCACTGGCCATCTCTGAGATGTAGCCTCTCCATGGGCTGGGGAAGAGGCTGGACTCGATGACCTTCAGTGGCATCTTTATTTCTGACTCTGAATCCATGATGAGAGGAGACTGGAGCTCCTATAATTTAGAAAGTGTTAAAAATGTTCTAATGACAGAACAGGAACTTCTGTGTTAGTGAGGACTCAGAGCCATCTGTTCCGAGCAGGAGAGAGATGCA